ATTTCCACAGCAGGAAAAAAGGAGAAGCTACTAAACGTCTAGTAGTCTCATGAACTATCCTGTACTAAGGTTAACACTATTGCTGATATGAAGCATCATCAGTGGAATGTTTTTAGTTAAAAAAAATCTTATCATCTAGAATGGCGAAATGTACAAAGCCTTATCAAAGACGGAAAATTTCTCTCACTGGTTTATTTGTTATGTTCATAGGCGCAATAGAAATCAATTTGTATTTCTGTATATGGCGTGGAAGGACTAGAAAAATCCATCATTTTTTTCAGTTTTCTATCCCACTCAGACTGTGATTTTTTGAAGTGGCTTAGAAACTTAACACAGATCTACTGATGAAGTTTTTAAATAATTGTCAGCCTTATGATTTTGAAGCCTCAAATGTTTTGCTTTCCTTATACATAAATATGTGCATGTGTAAGTTATAAGCACATATGAAAAGAATAAGATTGAAGTCTAGGTTTTTCCTATAGTTCCAAGTGTTCAACTATCTCAGATTTTTAAAGGGGGAAAAATTGTTCTATTAAAACCAGATTATACAATATCTTTACTTACCTTGTAAGTAGTATGACTGACTTCAGGACTTCTTGTGGAATCAACAATTATTCAATGAAAAAATTATCCAATTAAAGTTGAGTACCAGAATCTAGTCCACAATCCTAATCCAGACAATTTTGTTTAGAGATAAGCAAAATCTAGTGGACAGCTCCTTAATGCTATCATTTATAGTATATAAAGTTTGACTTCTGAAATATTTTCAGATGGAACTATAATCTATAGGACCTACCTGAAGACTGAACACAGTGAGGAAAACATTGAATTCTGGCTTGCATGTGAGATTTACAAGAAGACTGCATCACAGAAGAAAAGAAATGCTATGGCCAAGAAACTTTTTAAAGATTATATTCAACCCCACGCTCCTAAAGAGGTGAATTAACATTTAAAGACTTGCATACATATACACACACAAGGAAAACTACTTGGAAAATATGCATATCCGCAAAATCTAAAGGCAGCTTACAAAATTCATAGATTCATAGATGCTAGGGTCAGAAGGGACCTCAATAGATCATCGAGTCTGACCCCCTGCATAGGCAGGAAAG